TACTATTCTAATTTAGCGATTTATTTCGTTTTTGTTTCTTTTCTGTTTATATTTTGTTTTTTTGAGGGTCTTTTACTTTGTTATCGCTTTAATTGCTGTCTGTCTTTTAGTTTCCGGGTAACGTACCTCTTCCAGACTTGCTGTTGCAAAAGGACTATTCTCCTTTGATATGCTTGCTTAACGCTGTAATTTAATCCTTGCTAAGTTATTTTTCAACACAAAGGACGAAGCAACAAAAGACAATGCTGGGTAAAATTAAGACAAAAAGGACTTTTAAAGTCAAATGAGCTTGAATCTATTTAAAACAAACCAGGCATCAAATTGACCATGCTGAAAATGCATTTGTAATTTTATTCTGTTCCCAGATGTAAGAGTTTACCACTACCATTGAAACTTGTATGTGTTAATGTTTGTGCTTTGAGGTAAGTGTATTTTAGTACGTGTCTTTTTTGATGACAACCAAATCGAGGGTTAGAAGCACACAAAGTGGATAGTACGATAATTAATTGAAAAATCATTCCCTGCATATTTTGAGGGCGACCTTGACAAATAGCTTGAACTCGTAAAGTGTTCGAGAAGCAAAGAGAATTTACCGCTTTTAGCTAAGGAATTTATTTCGCATCGATGAACAGTCTCAGTAGCTAAACATCGAGTTGTATTGCACTAAGTCTTTGAGGTATTCCGTTTAGTACATCTACTGGCTAATAACGCTGTAAACAAATTAAGACTTTAGATTCGATTCGCGATCGCCATTGTGGAAGTCAATACTCCTGTAGTTATTGACCAATATGGAGGGCCGGTATTTCTTCAATTTCAACGCCAACAGCAAATGTAACTATATATGCCACTTAAGATTACTGATTATGGCAGGAGGATTAGTCAGGGAGGGGCACTCTCGTGCAGGTTATGCTGTGTACCGCGGCAAGTTTAATTCTCGACTTGTTTGAATTGTTATAACGACAGGAACTGATCCAAGTTTGGCGAGTTAGTAGTTTGAGATTTCATGATCAGCGTCCTCGCAGCGTTTTAATTTTGAATATTCTCCAAACGTAGAAAGGTAGCCGTCTTTCGAGTTTTTGGCGCTATAGATTGGAAGGTCGAGCCTGGCTCGATCACACCCCGCCAGCATTAACCGCCAAGTCCGCCAAAGGCTACAAGCATCAATGAACATCACAGAACAGTAAGAAAAACAAAACGTGACAAAACTTCTGTGAGGTAACTTGCTACGGAGTTGCGTTCTATCCCTCAATTAAAGCAGTAATAGACCTTGTTCATCTCGAAGAAGCCGCAAGAAACGTAAAGGCTTCGATCCAGTGCTGCTGACGAACTCATCCTGAGAACAGGAGCAACTTTACTTCTTTCTTGAGACCGGCCAGCCAGAAAATAAATTTTCAAAACCATGCGCTCGATAGCTTTTTTTGTTTGTTTGTTTGTTCGTTTATTTTGTTTAATTTTTGTTTTGTGTGTGTGTTTGTTTTGTTCTTTTTTCGTTGTGGCTTGTCATGGTTTCCTACATTCCATCTGGAGGACTGAATGGATATCGATTGAGGCGTGACTCGAGCAAACAATTTTGTTTTCCAGAAACGCCGAGCTGAATAACTCGAGAGCTGAGATCGTTTAAATATTTTGATATTGACCACAGGTCACCATCACAGCATTCTATAAACAAGCAAAGACAGAGAAAATTATATCTGAAAATTTATGTATAATTAACACGTATTGTCTAAACTCCCGTTTTGCCTCCGGGGGGCGGAGTGCAGGTACACATCGTATTGGCTAAATATCAGTCGATTTCGTTAATATTCGTTATGATTTTAGGGCTGCTCGTTAACTAATATTCAGGAACTGGGGCAAGCGCGGGAAACTGCCATGGCTTGTGCTTGTCACGTGATGTTTCTCACTGACACGCCATCGTGTGAAAGCGAGTGAAGGCCGATCAGGGTACGACACTATTTGCGAGAAAGGTCTTCACATCCGGGTCACAAAAACAATCTTACGCCAGGAGCCCACTCTTATGCTAGTTATATTATAAATCAACTGATTATTTCCCGTGGCATGGCACGATATGTTTGTAATACAATCATGTTTTTGGTTTGTTTTATCTATGCAGATATAGCAGTTTTTAAGACGATTGTGGACCAAGCATGAGTCGTCGAGCCGATTACAGAGATATGTTATCATACACTATGGTATGTAAGAACTGTCCTGAATACATGTACAACTACGAGACATTGAGAGAGACCTGGGTGCAAGCCTGCCGTGCGAAGGGAAGAGCCTGTTATGAGCGAATCAAGTATTACTTCACTCACTCCTTTGATCGTCATTTGAAAGAAATGATCTTTGTGATAGCTTATGGAGTCGATCACACCGCTGGTATTTTCCTTGATTATAAAGGCTATACATTCTTCAAGGAAAAGATGGAGAAAGCAGCAGATTCGGGTGACAAATTGCCTGAAGTTTCACCATCAAAGGTGTCGCGAAAAACACCGCAAATGATGAGAATCTTTAAATCCCTTAAAGATTTTAACATTTTCAGCGATCAGCTGCGCCAGAAAAATCGTTCCATCGTTCGACAAAGGCACATTAATGGTGTGTATTTTTTGGAAAGAATAAACGAGGTCATGGAGGAAAAAACGCCATCATTTTTAGCGTTTAATGCGAAGGTTTCTGAACAAGATCCAAAGAAAATCTTACAGATTGGTTGCGTGGTTTTCTCAACGGAAAGTCAACAAGACTGCAAAAAATGTCACGTCTACATCGTGAAGGAAAACTACCCCTCACTAAGTGAAAACTTTCCGCACCAAAAATGCGACGACTTCGCAGCTGGGACCTCTGAAATGGCCGGCCTCGCCGAGATAATGAACAAACTCCAAGACAACATTTCGGGAGTGGATTTTCTCATCACACATTCAACATCATCAGAAGATATTCGTAATTTTCTGAAAGCCCAAGGACTAGACACTGGCGATAAGGAAATCATTGATACATTGACTCTTTATTCTGCACTGTTCCCCGAGTCCAGAAAAGACAACACCATGGAAGAACTTCTCAAGAAATTAGACGTCCCGTTTGACTCTTGTAAACTCCAAAACGCGGGCTATAACGCATTTTACATCATGCTGATGTTTCGAGCTCTTTTGAAAAAAGAATTTTGTGCATGCCTTAGTTTATAGAATAGTTTTAAATTTAAAAATGTGGGTGAGGGGTGCCGTAGAACCAAAACCAAATCAATTACAGCGACCAATCACCAAAACAAAACCATTAAAAACTAATGAATTAATGTGAACTCTCGTCGAGGCAAAAAGCACGTAGCAAAAGCACGGGCCAAGCGCGGGAAAACCCACGTGACCAAGTCGTGATTGGTTGAGACTCAGACCGGAGGTGATGTAGAAGGACATGCGAATGTCAGACGAATGTCATGAAAAATTCAGGCTGAATGAGACCGTTAACCAATGCCTACAGAGTACAGTACTGTCACTTAACTCCAAATGGTTCGACTACGAGTAGTCCCTCTTTCGCTTAGTCTGTCGAGTGAGACAAACGTTACAACAGTTTACAACAAAGAAAGAGTGAAACTGGAAAAAATATTTTGCCAACATGGCAAACCACATAACATTTGAAGGCCGAATAAGATAAAATAAAGCGAAACAACGGAATGCTACAGCTATGGTTGGCTACCGCAGTATAGTACCTGATTCCAGCGAGTGACTTATTCTGCTTAGGACGGTCTGTTCATTGTCTCAGACGCATTACAGCCAATCCGATGTCAGTGATTCTGGAGAGCTTTGAATCTTTAGAACTTTAACTCGGTTCGAGTAAGATCGAAGGTGAATTACAAAGAAAATGACCTGAAGGGATAGAAAAATCTCTTCGAGTTAGCGGAGGTTCGAATTACCGAGGAATCGAGCTGCAGAGGGTAAAACTACAGTAAATGTTAAAAAAAATCTAGGAGAATTCTAGTTTGGCTCGAGGTATTTGTATTTTGTATTTGTAGTTTTTATTTCTCCACTTGACGATATGAACACAGTATTGTTAAAAATAAGGTGCAGTGAAAGTGCAAAATATAGTAAACTAATAGGCCATTTTCCAGTTTCCTTTGCCTCTATGTCAAAACGTGTTTCGTGCGAAGCCATTGTCATGAAAATACGTTTCATCTGTAAGCTTATTTTCATGCAAATCGGGCTCGTTTTCAGAGTTTTACACGAGGACTCGTTTTGAAACCGAGGCACAAGGTAACTCGGAAATGACGTATAATATGCCCTCAAGAGATTCTCTTGATGCCCTTGAACTAAATACATTAATTTTATTTTAGGATAAAAAGAAAACTAGTATAAGACAGGAAAGAGTAAACACATAGTAAATAAAACGTTTATATTGGACTTATTAATACGGAGCAATATGAAACTGGTAAAGTGCTTTTTTAAATAGTTTTCTAGTCCGCTTACTGTATTACATACCGCCGGTAAAGTTAGCGCGCGATCAGAGAACGTTCTTGGTCATCGGAAGTTGCAACTAGCGAGGGTCTAATGTTAAACTGAAGAAAAGGAAGTAACTGACAGGTTTTTGTCGTTCTTTTAGCTGATATGGGAAGAAGTGACTAGCTTTTATTCCGCGACAATTAAAATTTACCGGTATTCTTACTTTTGTGAGATTGGTACTGGTTATTGGGTCGAGTGAAGTGCAGTTTACGGAGTAATCACGCGATTAATAATGGTAANCTAAGCTGAACAGCCAGTAAACACGTTAGCATCATTTTGCATTTTGATGCTCATAAGGTATCACAAAATTTACATTTTTCACTTGACATTCACTCCTTAAAAGAACAAACGTATAACTGCTAAGAGCTTATGAAGTGTTCTTTGAAAGACGAAAGTAAAAGTGCGACATCCAATAAATATTGCAATTGAGAAATAATATTTCTTTTTCATTTTCAATAAAACTAAAAACAACTCAAGTGACCTCTTTAGAACTAAAATGAGGTTCTTCAGTTAAGGACGTGCGCGCCCAAAATGTTCCCACCTAAAGATTTTTTTAAAACTTGCCACGCAAAAAAATCGAAGATCAACTTTTGGGAAAAAGACTAAAACATGGGGAATCACCGTGCGCGTTTTCGAAATAAGACACATTGATGACCACGCATTTTTAGAAGCTTTCGTTATTTTAAGATGATATTATCTTACAACCATCAGCAGTAGAAGAAACTACATTAGTGGAATGTAGATCAGGTAAACGTATTCAATTCAACGCAGTTAAGTTTATAAAGTAAACTTTTGCACCTGATGTCTTTCCTTGAGGTAGAATAGGCCTTGAAAAAGAATACATTTTAGCTTGTCCCACATTCGAAGTAAACTTCGGTTGCAAGAGAGCAGAAAAGGCGAAATATTTGCGTACAGATTTGTTTTTGTTTTTGTTTGTTTTGTTTGTTTGTTTGTTTTTTTGTTAAAATGGAGAAAATCAGGGAAGAAGGTAACGGCTATGAAGGGAAAAGAGGGGATCACCAAAGAGTAAACTGCAGGTGAAGTTAACGCAACCGGTATCAAGCGATATAGTTGCTTATATTTCTTCCTTGGCGCGCTCGCTTGATGTATGACATGGCGCGACCTCTCAACATGAATTAGTGCACACTAAGGATGCATCCTGTCCTCTGCTCATATCAAAATTCTTTGATACAAATTTTTAAGTCGATCGCAGCAGCCTACTATTCTAATTTAGCGATTTATTTCGTTTTTGTTTCTTTTCTGTTTATATTTTGTTTTTTGAGGGTCTTTTAATTTGTTATCGCTTTAACTGCTGCCTGTCTTTTAGTTTCCGGGTAAAGTACCTCTTCCAGACTTGCTGTTGCAAAAGGCCTATTCTCCTTTGATATGCTTGCTTAACGCTGTAATTTAACCATTGCTAAGTTATTTTTCAACACAAAGGACGAAGCAACAAAAGATAATGCTGGGTACAATTAAGACAAAAAGGACTTTTAAAGTCAAATGAGCTTGAATCTATTTAAAACAAACATCAAATTGACCATGCTGAAAATGCATTTGTAATTTTATTCTGTTCCCAGATGTAAGAGTTTACCACTACCATTGAAACTTGTATGTGTTAATGTTTGTGCTTTGAGGTAAGTGTATTTTAGTACATGTCTTGTTTGATGACAACTAAAGCGAGGGTTAGAAGCACACAAAATGGATAGTATGATAATTAATTGAAAAATCATTCCCTGCATATTTTGAGGGCGACCTTGACAAACAGCTTGAACTCGTAAAGTGTTCGAGAAGCAAAGAGAATTTACCGCTTTTAGTTTAGGAATTTATTTCACATCGATGAACAGTCTCAGTAGTTACTTAAACATCGAGTTGTATTGCGCTAAGTCTTTGAGGTATTCCATTTAGTACATCTACTGGCTAATAACGCTGTAAACAAATTAAGACTTTAGATTTGATTCGCCATTGTGGAAGTCAATACTCCTGTAGTTATTGACCAATATGGAGGGCCGGTATTTCTTCAATTTCAACGCCAACAGCAAATGTAACTATTATATGCCACTTAAGATTACTGATTATGGCAGGAGGATTAGTCAGGGAGGGGCACTCTCGTGCAGGTTATGCTGTGTACCGCGGCAAGTTTAATTCTCGACTTGTTTGAATTTTTATAACGACAGGAACTGATCCACGTTTGGCGAGTTAGTACTTTGAGATTTCATGATCAGCGTCCTCGCTGCGTTTTGATTTTAAATATTCCCAAAACGTAGAAAGGTAGCCGTCTTTCGAGTTTTTGGCGCTATAGATTGGAAGGTCGAGCCTGGTTCGATCACACCCCGTCAGCATTAACCGCCAAGTCCGTCAAAGGCTACAAGCATCAATGAAAATCACAGAACAGTAAGAAAAACAAAACGTGACAAAACTTCTGTGAGGTAGCTTGCTACGGAGTGCCGTTCTATCCTTTAATTAAAGCAGTAATAGACCTTGTTCATCTCGAACAAGCCGCAATTAACGTAAAGGCTTCGATCCAGTGCTGCTGACCTACTCATCCTGAAAACAGGCGCAAGTTTACTTCTTTCTTGAGACCGGCCAGCCAGAAAATAAATTTTCAAGACCATGCGCTCGATAGGTTTTTTTGTTTGTTTGTTTGTTCGTTTATTTTGTTTTATTTTTGTTTTATGTGTGTGTTTGTTTTGTTCTTTTTTCGTTGTGGCTTGTCATGGTTTCCTACATTCCATCTGAAGGACTGAATGGATATCGATTGAGGCGTGACTCGAGCAAACAATTTTGTTTTCCAGAAACGCCGAGCTGAATAACTCGAGAGCTGAGATCGTTTAAATATTTTGATATTGACCACAGGTCACCATCACAGCATTCTATAAACAAGCAAAGACAGAGAAAATTATATCTGAAAATTTATGTTGCCTCCGGGGGGCGGGGTGCAGGTACACATCGTATTGGCTAAATATCAGTCGATTTCGTTAATATTCGTTATGATTTTAGGGCTGCTCGTTAACTAATATTCAGGAAACTGGGGCAAGCGCGGGAAACTGCCATGGCTTGCTGCTTGTCACGTGATGTTTCTCACTGACACGCCATCGTGTTAAAGCGAGTGAAGGCCGACCAGGGTACGACACTATTTGCGAGAAAGGTCTTCACATCTGGGTCACAAAAACAATCTTACGCCAGGAGCCCACTCTTATGCTAGTTATATTATAAATCAACTGATTATTTCCCGTGGCATGGCACGATATGTTTGTAATACAATCATGTTTTTGGTTTGTCCTATCTATGCAGATATAGCAGTTTTTAAGACGATTGTGGACCAAGCATGAGTCGTCGAGCCGATTACAGAGATATGTTATCATACAATATGGTATGTAAGAACTGTCCTGAATACATGTACAACTACGAGACATTGAGAGAGACCTGGGTACAAGCCTGCCGTGCGAAGGGAAGAGCCTGTTATGAGCGAATCAAGTATTACTTCACTCACACCTTGGATCATCATTTGAAAGAAATGATCTTTGTGATAGCTTATGGAGTCGATCACACCGCTGGTATTTTCTTTGATTATAAAGGCTATACATTCTTCAAGGAAAAGATGGAGAAAGCAGCAGATTCGGGTGACAAATTGCCTGAAGTTTCACCATCAAAGGTGTCGCGAAAAACACCGCAAATGATGAGAATCTTTAAATCCCTTAAAGATTTTAACATTTTCAGCGATCAGCTGCGCCAGAAAAATCGTTCCATCGTTCGACAAAGGCACATTAATGGTGTGTATTTTTTGGAAAGAATAAACGAGGTCATGGAGGAAAAAACGCCATCATTTTTAGCGTTTAATGCGAAGGTTTCTGAACAAGATCCAAAGAAAATCTTACAGATTGGTTGCGTGGTTTTCTCAACGGAAAGTCAACAAGACTGCAAAAAATGTCACGTCTACATCGTGAAGGAAAACTACCCCTCACTAAGTGAAAACTTTCCGCACCAAAAATGCGACGACTTCGCAGCTGGGACCTCTGAAATGGCCGGCCTCGCCGAGATAATGAACAAACTCCAAGACAACATTTCGGGAGTGGATTTTCTCATCACACATTCAACATCATCAGAAGATATTCGTAATTTTCTGAAAGCCCAAGGACTAGACACTGGCGATAAGGAAATCATTGATACATTGACTCTTTATTCTGCACTGTTCCCCGAGTCCAGAAAAGACAACACCATGGAAGAACTTCTCAAGAAATTAGACGTCCCGTTTGACTCTTGTAAACTCCAAAACGCGGGCTATAACGCATTTTACATCATGCTGATGTTTCGAGCTCTTTTGAAAAAAGGAATTTTGTGCATGCCTTAGTTTATAGAGTAGTTTTAAATTTAAATATGTGGGTGAGGGGTGCCGTAGAACCAAAACCAAATCAATTACAGCGGCCAATCACCAAAAAAAAACATTAAAAACTAATGAATCAATGTGAACTCTCGTCGAGGCAAAAGCACGTAGCAAAAGCACGGGCCAAGACAAAAGCAAGGGCCAAGCGCGGGAAAACCCACGTGACCAAGTCGTGATTGGTTGAGACTCAGACCGGAGGTGATGTAGAAGGACATGCGAATGTCAGACAAATGTCATGAAAAATTCAGGCTGAATGAGACCGTTAACCAATGCCTACAGAGTACAATACTGTCACTTAACTCCAAATGGTTAGACTACGAGTAGTCCCTCTTTCGCTTAGTCTGTCGAGTGAGACAAACGTTAAACTGAACAGTTTACAAAAAAGAAAGAGTGAAACTGGAAAAAATATTTTGCCAACATGGCAAACCACATAACATTTGAAGGCCGAATAAGATAAAATAAAGCGAAACAACGGAATGCTACAGCTATAGTTGGCTACCGCAGTATAGTACCTGATTCCAGCGAGTGACTTCAGTTATTCTGCTTAGGACGGTCTGTTCATTGTCTCAGACGCATTACAGCCAATCCCATGTCAGTGATTCTGGAGAGCTTTGAATCTTTAGAACTTTAACTCGGTTCGAGTAAGATCGAGGGTGAATTACAAAGAAAATGACCTGAAGGGATAGAAAAATCTCTTCGAGTTAGCGGGGGTTCGAATTATCGAGGAATCGACCTACAGAGGTTAAAACTACAGTAAATGTAAAAAAAATAAATCTAGGAGAATTCTAGTTTGGCTCGAGGTATTTGTATTTTGTATTTGTAGTTTTTATTTCTCCACTTGACGATATGAACACAGTATTGTTAAAAATAAGGTGCAGTGAAAGTGCAAAATATAGTAAACTAATAGGCCATTTTCCAGTTTCCTTTGCCTCTATGTCAAAACGTGTTTCGTGCGAAGCCATTGTCATGAAAATACGTTTCATCTGTAAGCTTATTTTCATGCAAATCGGGCTCGTTTTCAGAGTTTTACACGAGGACTCGTTTTGAAACCGAGGCACAAGGTAACTCGGAAATGACGTATAATATGCCCTCAAGAGATTCTCTTGATGCCCTTGAACTAAATACATTAATTTTATTTTAGGATAAAAAGAAAACTAGTATAAGACAGGAAAGAGTAAACACATAGTAAATAAAACGTTTATATTGGACTTATTAATACGGAGCAATATGAAACTGGTAAAGTGCTTTTTTAAATAGTTTTCTAGTCCGCTTACTGTATTACATACCGCCGGTAAAGTTAGCGCGCGATCAGAGAACGTTCTTGGTCATCGGAAGTTGCAACTAGCGAGGGTCTAATGTTAAACTGAAGAAAAGGAAGTAACTGACAGGTTTTTGTCGTTCTTTTAGCTGATATGGGAAGAAGTGACTAGCTTTTATTCCGCGACAATTAAAATTTACCGGTATTCTTACTTTTGTGAGATTGGTACTGGTTATTGGGTCGAGTGAAGTGCAGTTTACGGAGTAATCACGCGATTAATAATGGTAATAGGACAGAGTGGAGTCCAATTCGGTCTGTAAGCATACGAGTGATAAACAAAATCGGATGACCGCGAAGCGGGAGTCCGATTTGTTGCCAATCACATTTGAGGAAATTATAATTATTATGATAAACGTGCGAATAACGTAGGAATCCAATTGCCGGTATCCAGTTACAAAGAAGTACATTGTAATTGGACACCTGTAATTGGACACCCACGTGATTCAACGTGCACACATTGCTATTATTTTCATATGTATGGCTTTGTTTAACTTATGGAATTGTGGCTGGGGGGCCTATCTCCAGAAACACTCATCAAGAGGAATTACCAAAACATTTCCTTGCAAAAGCTTCCGGAAGAAACTTAACTCCTTGATTGACTCTGAGATGGAGTAAATTTTTAATCAGCATCTGCTAGTCTAGGATCTTGGGAAACCAATGAAACCAGTTCCTTAAACCAAGGAACCCTGTGTTACATCAGTACCTACAATAATAAGCATAAGGAGAGGGGTTGGTTAGGAACTTACTCAACTTTTCAAACAAATCTGCAAAGGCGGGCCACCCGAATTTATTCGAAAGAGAGGACTGTTAGCTAGCAGAATTTGGCTTTTATCAGCAGCTGAGCTATGAAAAAAGCATTCACAGCAAAATCCTGCCAGCTAGGGAACAAGTTTCTATTGTTGATGTCATAAACTTCTTCAAATCTTGTTTTCTGATGAACAAATAATTATTTTACATGTACCTTGATGGAAACCTTACAGTAATAGTTTTCTAACGTACGAAGACACCTTTAAGAAAAAAATATACAAAAAATAAATGCAACAAAAAAGTGCATGACTAAGAAAGAATAAGATGGATTATCAACAAAAAGACACCAAAAAATGGCCAAACCTTTCAAGACATGCTAGTTTTAAATACAATTGCCAGCTATTTCAAGCAGTCTTTTCCATTTGTTTCTCTCTCTCCATGTAGTTAAACATTCTTAAAAAAAGATGTTTGAGTTATTGAGGTTTTCGCCCTCGCCTCTGTTCCATTTCTGATGTCTTTCCTTTCATTTCCTCGGCTTGCATAGCATACCGCTCCCTTATGTATCTAAATGCCTGTGCATTTGCAAATGGTAGTCCTGTGACGGGATCATGATATCGAGCGGGTAGCCCTGTGACAGGGCAATAAGTCTTATGTGGAACTTTTGGCTTTTTGGTGGGGAAGTATGCAGCAGGGAAATTCTTTGCATCTGTAAAGATCAGAAAATTTCTGCAGCAGCGCTTGGATGAATCCACATTCACCTCATCATCCTCATTGTCGTCAACTTTCACCAGTGGCTCTGTTACCTCTAGAACTGGCATAGATAATGAATGAAACCGGACAGTAGGACCCTTAAATGTCACCTTCTGGATTTTAGTTTTCTTCTTGTCTGCCTCCAACTGGTGATAAGCTTGTAAAGAAGCAACATTCTCTTCTTCTGTTATTTTAGCCTCTGCCAATAGTTCCTCTTGTGTTAAGCGCCTCATGTCGAGGAATTTTTTTGGCTGCGTTTTCTTAAGCAGTGTCTTTTTCTCCTTTTCCTGTCTGAAACGATTCTTCGTTGCTTGAGCGCGTTCAACTGTAAGCGCTCGAGTGGACTTTCTAACTCCCTCCCGAGGTTCTTCTTCAAAACTTCTCCGTTTCTTTGCGTCTGACTCTTTACTAGATGGCTTTGATGTTCCTGCATCCTTTTTCGGAGCCCTGTATGGTTTGATTATCTGCTTTTTTCGCTTTCTTACTGGTTCCTCGTCCGCCTGATCATCTATCACTTCATCTGTCTCAGAGAGACTGAAATCAGAGTCAACGACATCAACTTCTTCGTCTTCTGTTGCGTATTTCTCATCGCCTGATTCTTCTTCAAACCCTCCAAATGCTGTCTTATAAAAATCATCAACGTCTTGTTCGTCTTCTATCAGTTTGGACATCAAACTCCCAGCATTTCGCCGAGTTTCTCTGCCTTTGGCTAGACTCTCAACTTCATCCGCCATTTTGAACAGACAAAGCGTGCTTGAGCCCGCGCATATCAGCGACTTATAAGTTTTGATTGGTACAGCGAGGGAGGGGAGGACAGGGTTTGTTAGCCAGAAGACGTATACGTAACATAGCAAACTTTAAAATCCCCATTGCAAAATGGAATTTCGAAATATTTTTCCTAATAATACAACAGTAATATGGCTCCGAGATAAATTGATACTCGAAATGGCTGAGAAAGAAACCTATTTTCATAAGTTTTCCCACCCTTGCTTTGCATAACTTCACCCCTCCCTAGTAAGAACCTACGTTTTATTGCATGCTGGGAATGACTCAGGTAAAAGGAAGAGAAACATGGCGGCATTGAATATTCCTGGCTTTCAAGAACAACTATGGGGTAATGGGCCATCTCCAGGCGCTTTTTACAATTTCCCTGGAAATCAAAATGGCCCTAAAACTGCCGAGCAAATTTCACCAGCGAAAAGAACTTTGTAAGTATAAAGAACGTGGTCCAAGAGTGAGGCAATTTAAAAGTTCTTCATAGCAAGCATAAGCTTTAGCTTACTTTATAAAATTTTCAAATTTGAAACTGTTCATGGAACTATACTGTTCAATGTATTTGCGGCGAAAACTGGAAATCGTTGAGGTGTTTTACTCAGATAAAATGAATTTCAGAGATCAGCTTAGTATATTGTGCCAAAACGTTACTTCAAAGTCTTCAAATTTTGCTTAAATTGGTTATTTTTTAACCTTCACCAGATATCCTACAACAACTGGTACGTCTGTACTGGGCGTGAAGTTTGATGGTGGTGTTCTCATGGCAGCTGATACATTAGGTCAGTTATATTATCATGCAATGTTAATATCCAAAGAAGTTGTGTTTGCAGAACATTAATTACTCGGAAATTTGTACTTAGTCTACATGTACTTATACATAACTGTACATTTGTGCTGACGGTGTTATTTGAAACAACATGCAAAATCAGCAGTCTACTGCACTGTAGATGTTCACTCCTCCTTGTCCTTTGGAGAGACCTTTTGTAACAGTTTCCAAATTGGTATATGTAACAGAATGTGTGACAGGTTTTGGTGGCCTAGTGGTGATTGCGAGGGAATCCAGATCATATTTGGTTCCTGCCAGCATAGTTAACTATGCTGCCAGGCCACTCTGTTGTGTTTTGGGGTGGCACTTCACTCTCAAAGTGCATTACTCTGCCTAGGCTGCGTAGGGCCAAGTTGCTCGAAAGCTGATTTTAAATACTTATCCTAGCAAAAAGTTGGTCTGTATTTGAATTGCTTATGTATAAAGGTGCGGTTCACTGTAATGTTTTTGGACCCGGAAATTAATCAACATCAAAACTGGAGGATTTAAACATCTAAAAAAAAAAAACACTTGAAAAGCTAGAAAAGGGAAAAATCAAAATTCATGCTACATGTAATCATGGATCAGCTTAATTTTGCTTTGAACACCTGGGTGCAGCAGTACTGATAAATGGGTACCAGCAAAACATTGGCCAGAGACAGTCTGACAAAATGTTGAGGAGAAACCTCTGATGGACTAACATCCTATCCAAGAGAGAGTAGAAATACTCCTGGCATCCTCATGCTACAGAAACTGGAGTTATAACACTGTGGCTTAACACTTGATTCTTTTTTATTTTTCTATATTTCCTCCATGACAGATATTAGTGATATGCATTTTTTCTAATATGCAAACAGTTTTGAAACCTTGTTAGTGACAATCCATTCTTTTAGGTTCCTACGGATCTCTTGCAAGATTCCGTGAGGTTTCGAGACTGACAGCTGTTGGAAATAACACAGTTGTTGGTGGTTCAGGAGACTATGCAGACTTTCAATACCTTAAATCAGTTCTGGAACAAAAAGTGTAAGTTCTTAATGATCATTGAATGTGTTAAAATGGGATCATTCATTTTTTGAGAGAAAATGTTAAAGAAAATTTTGATTTGTGGTCCAGTTTTGTTTAGCCATTTTAAAACTGTCAAGTAAAAAAGAATACCTCCATATGTGTTGTGTATTTGTGGATGATATATTAGTAACTTGAACTGTTAAATGTAATAATTTGTCATGGTGGAACCTTTGATTAGACATGTAAATGTATAGAGATAACAGGCAATTAGCAAAGTACATTCTTCATTGAAAAAACATTGTTGTGTTGAATCTCTTTCAGTATTGACGATGCCTGTTTAAATGATGGCCATGGCTACACACCAAAGTCTATATACTCATGGTTAACAAGAGTCATGTACTACAGGTATTAGAGTGCAAAGAAAATCAGTTTTCAGGCTTTCTCTTTGGGCAAGCTGTAACTACAATGTGCTTGCCCAAGCATCATTTTCTCTAGTTCCAGAAACATTTCTTACTAGCATGATTGGTTAATTTGGAATTACTGTAACTATTTTTTTCATATCCTTCAGCAAGATTGTAATTCAAATTTCCTTGAACAATTTTACCCCCCCTCCCCAAAAAAAAAAAAACCAGAAAAAAATGCACTTGGTCCTCAGGCAAGCTAGGTGGGTAATCCACCAGTCTGACCGCAAAATCCACTAGTCCTGCATAAATTATGGGCCAAGGTCTTTTTTTTCATGCTGGCGTGGTGGTTTTTGTTTGTTTGTTTGTCTTTTGCTACTGGTGTTTTAGTGATGGCCTTTAATCAAAGATCAAACGACTGCTGGCTCTCATATGAAAATTAAAATTAATATTCAGTAGTTCTGGCATGTGATTTAGACAGCATTTTTTACATGTAACATGTGGCTCATAAGCTCTCCCTGGTTGGCAAGGGAAGATCCCCTTGGATACACACTATACATGAAGACCTCCAGGGTGTGTTCGTTGAACTACAATTATCAGTTGAGTAAGGCGCGACAAAAATTTGGTCATTGGGTTTTAAAGTAAAAATCATGTTGTTGTCACAGGCAACTGGCTCCATTTCCAGTGGCAATTTGTCAGCTTTGACGTCATTAGCAGCAAAGTGCACGAAACTGTACGCGACGCGACAGGCAACGCCCAGCTGTTGATATTGTTGCCAATGGAAACAAAGTAAGTTGCCCGTGAGAACACCATAATTTTAAGTCCAAAAATTTGTCACCAAACTTCCGTTGTGCCTTACTCAACTGATAATCGTAGTAAGATGTACTTGTAGATATACATTAATCATTACAATAAGTCATCTGGATGTAACATCTCCACACCCACTCTGTTTCCCATCTTAAAGAAATATGCTGTATCCCCAAAAATACAAATATACAGCTGTAACCACAATATCAATATTTAATTGGTGCCTTTTTGTCTTATAGGCGTACACGGTTTGATCCATTGTGGAATCAGGTTGTCATAGGCGGTGTTCACAACGGTGAAAGGTAGGAGTTTTAATTTCCATTCTGCGGTAGAGATTTTTACAATCGCTGTCTTGAGCAATAAGGCCACTTACTTTCACTTTTTATAGACTTTCCACTGAGCCAGCTAGCATGTAATTATTGTTAACTTCCGTAGCCAACAAAGAGAGATAGCGCATGTGCATGTACCAGGACCAGTGAAATAATAATAAGTAAATAATATGCTTTATTTATCCATCTTTAAATGAAAGGTAATGCTTTAGCATTATTGGACTCTGTGTGACAGTTTGCTCCTGGTGTTTATATCAGTTTCTTAGGTTGTGTTGACAAGATTGGTATCGCTTTTGAGGCACCCACAATATCCACTGGATTTGGAGCATACCTGGCACAGGTAAGAGTCAGTCGTCTTTGTTATGTCTTGGACTGTATTATGAAATGGCATGAGTCCAGATTCATAAATTTGTTCGTTAGCAGGCTTTTAGGTAGATGGGTGTCCTGTGGACGGCTACTTATAAAAGAAAATCGTTTTATTATTTATGTTGCCTTATAAATTATTTAATTGAGCAGACCCTAAAGCACATTTTGGATGCCCACTTTTCAAATCCTGGCTAAAAGCCTGTTTGGTAGTAACTTGTTTTGAGCAGCAGAGTGTGACTTGGGTGTGTTTACAAATTACATGTGGCCAAAATATAGAAAATTTGAAATCAGACCTTGGTGTATTCCTTTTTGGCATCACTGTATTAACGTGATATTATATGGCTGTTTCAAGAAAGGTTGTTCAATGTTCAATCATTCTTCATTCAATACAGTCTAAGCATCCCCAACAGTGCCGAAAGGTAGCGTGGATTGTTGCTTGAATGAAGTTCCATCATGATGAAAGGGGAAATCATGAGTCCTGGTGAACACAAAATCCACAATTTCTTCTTCTGTCATGTTGAGAACCATGACCTTCAATGAAACAACAGTGTGCTAACACTACCCATGATTCCTTTAAGTATCATCGCATACACTACTAAAAGCAACCTATCTCGTCATCATCTTTATTGAGCTGGTAAATCTGATGAAGCATCACACCAACTGTTAAACCAAAAGAAGAGAAAACATACTCTCTATAAAAGATCCTATACAAAATAAAACCTAAGCCTATCAAATCCAATTGTAGCTATCTCTGCGGAATGCACAAACTTTCTTGACACAGCTAGCCTCTTTCAGGTGTTCAGTTAGCTCAGTCAGTTGAGGAGCAGTGCAAAAAAAGGGAGCACAAAAAAATGTTGGAGAAGGCTAGGACACAACTGTGTTTTTTTCTGAGTTCTTACAAACACATCTTTGCTGTGACGCTTTTAAGACAATTGCATTCGTATGCCTACTGACCATTGTGTTCTTCTTACCCTAGCCAATTCTTCGCGATGCATTTGAAAAGAATCCCAGCATGTCTCTAGATCAGGCACGGCAAGTGATCACCAGATGTCTACAAGTTTTGTTTTACAGAGATGCCAGATCTCTAAACAAGGTTTGTGACTAAGTGACACACTATCTACTTGTATCCAGTCAACACCTCAACTGACCTGGTGGGCAGTGGATAGTTGAAAGGCTGTCTGTCAGGTGTGAAATCACAGTGTCCGAAGTAATTATTGGCTGTCAACAGGAAGCTTATTGGGGCAGACGTTGGTTGGTGAAGATGGAGTGCGAGAAACGGGTAACCCTGTCCAACGCTCTTACACTCCCTTCTCTGCCTTGCTCTGCCTTGCTCTGCCTTGCCAAATAGCTCTTTTTGTAGGCTAACACAGTAGCAACGTGTAGTAAACGTTTTGTAGTTTTTTTCCTATCTGGTACCTTTTAAAATTACTCTACAGACAGACTCTACTGTTGCTGCTCGCATGTGGTTCATTTGATTTGTTCGAAAGAAGAGATAAGACCACATTTGGCTGATTCTTCAAGTAGATTTCCCGAGGTCTCTTTATCTCCTCGCAGGAGGAACAAAATTAATTCAAGCAAACAGACAGACTCGGACTATATGAGATTCAGGCTAAGAGGAGGAACTAAAAATTGTGGATTAGAAGTGACACGGTTAACCAAGAGCATCATAGTGTAATAAAGTTGGTTGATTGCCGTGAATTCACTGGGTATCATGTGTAGTTTGAGTGTGAGGCAAGGATGCTTTTCTTTTGATTTCAGTTTGAAGTGGCAGTAATTACAAAGGATGGTGTAGATATTGAACCAGTGACTAGTGCCGTGACTAACTGGGAAATTGCTCCCATGGTCAAGTAGGTTTCAGTTTTTTGTATT